GGGGGGGGGGGGGGTCGTTTATTTTGCGGGCGGGCGTACCGGTTAATCCCTCGCCTTTGGTTGTCACTTAGACGGGGGGGGGTCTTCAAACGCACTGCCTAGGGTCACTGCCCCCGCCCGAATAGTAGCCTCGAGAAGGCCAACATGGTCATCACACCGTTGAGCCGGCGACGATGAAACAGGCTACAGGAAATCCTTTGAACGGGCCTTCGACGTACCTTTTACAACGACCGTTCTTAGTGGCGTGCATCGCTTTCTCGACGGTGGTGTCGTAAGGTTTGAACGCCGCTGCGGAAGAATGCTGCAAAGGCGAAACGGGTCGAGATTCCTATAAAATACATGCAAACAACCAGCGTCGGGGTTGCTACCAATCGGTTTCGCAGGCGGATGCACGGATCAGTATGTTCCTGAACAACGCGTCGCAGTCGAACCCCACGTCGGTGGTTCTCTTGTCTCCGGAGAACGTCGACGAGCAGCTAAACCGCGCGTGCCAGGCGTTCGTAGACCACACGGTCAAGGTGAGCATGTGTGCCGCGTAGCAAATCGAACCTTAAGTTTCATCGGTGAAGTACTTCGTAGATCACGTCACGATTCATAGACCCTTTCGTTTACCCTTTCGTAGAATGCAAGAGCGACGCCGGATGCATCGTGATCGTAAACATGATATAGAGGTTACGCGCTCACGATATGCAACCTTTGTAGACCACCCACCCAAGCCATGCTTGCCTTGTTCTACTCGCGATCGGGGGGTTTTGCTTTTGGCGTCGCGATGACAGTCACCCGGTCCTGAGGTCGTCTCCTATTTGCCCATGGGCTACAGCTGTGGTTTGTTTGATCGTTTGTTTGATCGTATCGATTTTCACTATTTCGCTGTGATCTCGACGTCCCCGTCGTTGGTCACCCCGCGAAAATTCATAAATTCGTGTGTGGCCTTCATGCCGTACATCCATTGGTGTTCAGCACTTGGGGGCCAAGAGTAAACTGAATGGCTCCTAACCCTCCTGTAAGCGCCTTCCGGCGTTCACGATTTTTGTCTTCGGTTGCTGCTGGGTTTACGGGACAACAAAGTCGACCATGAATCGCAAACCTGGTTGTTTCGGGTGGTGGGATGGACGCCGCACGTGAATATATCTCCCTTACTTTAAGTCTCCCCCAACACATCCTCTTATCACATGGACGCATCGATCCATCTCTACGACTCCGTCGGACAGACGGACTTGAAACGAAGACAGATCCTGGTGCACAAGGTGTTCCAGCTGTACGCGAGAGACCTCCAGCCCCGCGCGACGTCCACGGACATGGTCCGGTACGGCCTCCGCTTCGCTGGGAAGGCAGTCGTTCACGGGCTGTCGGCCCTCGACGTCAACATCTCCCAGGCGCACATCAGGTGAGGATAGGATCAGCACGTGGTCGTCGTCGTCGTCGTCCTCCTTGTGTGCAGTTGTGTCTGTATCGACACGTCGGTCGGGTGCCGACTCGCCGGCGGACG